AAGTGCTTGAAGCTGCTGCCTTTTTGCCTTCGTTGATCATTGAAATTTTTTCTTCATAGAATGCCAAATCTGCTTGGACGTTTCTTTGTTGAGAATAGTCTCCAAGATTGAACGATCAATTGCTTGAAAGAGGTAGTTTTTTGCGTTCAAATCTTTAAGCTTCAGTCCTTCTAACTCTGTTTTTTGGGCATCTGTGAGTGCTCGACCATCTTCAGGTGCTGCTACACCAGACTCTACATTCCAATACTCTTTACACCTCAAGAAATTTTCCATCAACATGCTCCAATGGTCATAGTGACCATCAAAACGTGGAATGGCAGGCTGCACGAAACTATCGGAAGCCATCTGATACTACACAAAGGAACAGGTGAAATAGAAACAAAGCTACTGTTGTACGCACTCCTATCTCACCTACACTCTTTCCTTTTTTTTACTCTTCCTCACTTTTGTCAGGTAGGGTTTTACTTTCGAAAATGGCTCCCAAAAAAACTCACTATTTTATTAACCAAGCTCTGATACCACTGATAAAATTTGAATGCTTGATGCTTGATAATTTTATTGAACAGAAAAGTGCCTTATATAGGCAGTACATCTAACAACTTAGCAAATAGCTAGGGGTTACAACTGGACTATTAACGTCTACGTAGACCAAGTAAAACAAATGTAGAATAAACAAACTAATAACCACTTCCTAAATACTAGGACAGAGAAAACGATAAACTTGACAGCAAATAGACTTGGTCTAATGAAGACCACGTGACTCAACACTTGCGACGGTTGTGCTGAGAGGGAGAGAGAACGAAGGGCTCGTCGCCTCGCCGAGCAGTATTCAGGCAAAACAGCAATGGCCGCAGTCATTCTCTCTCATTCATCCCATACTTCCTTCGAATGAAAAACAGCGGCAATGTCACTCCTCCAGGCGATACTTCGGGCCAAACAACTCTTCTTTCTGAGAATGGAGCAGTAGCGATGATTTTGTCGTCAGAAACGCTGAAGAAATCACCAAAAAAAAACAAGATTTTAATCAAATCACAATACAGTTTGGTGATCTGGGGTGACTTTAAGAATATCACCAAAAAATAGCTTTATGAAAGCTTCATCACCGGTTTCGGTGACTACTCAATACCAGTTACTTCATACCAAAATGATCGGAAGCAAAAATAAAAAAGAAACATAAAAAGAAAGAAAATAACCGGGGGAATTAATGACAATTGGACTTACTTGATCTTGAAAGGGAATACTTGAAAAAGGAGAACAAGAGTCTCATAGTGGCGGCAAACTGTAGATTCTCCGGCAGGCAGAATCCGATGTTATGAAAGCGGTTTTTAGGTACAAAAATGACAGGGATGTAAGTGCTGAAATCAACAACATGTATAAATAGGGGTAGAGTTAGTCAATTGTGAGAAACAGTAAGAATAGCGTTAATCAATTTTCAAACAATAAAGGTACACTTAGTCAATTARTTAAACTATAAGGATAGTTTAAGAAATTTACTCTTTTTTATATATATAACTTTTAATAATTTACATAAAGCCTGATTCATTGTTGAGCTCAAGCTGAGGCAAATTCAAACCTACAAAATTTTGAATTGAGCCGGTTTCAAGTTAGAATAATCTAATATTCAGTTTGGCTTGAATCCACCCCTAATGTTCCTTCCTTAAACGGAACAAGCTTGTATTAAAAAACGACACAAATATTTACTTAATCCATCTCTGCTAGTAGAACCGTAGTAGATTAGTAGCAGTTGTTGTGACCCATCGACCCCGATGCATTTCTTACTTATTTATGTGTTTCTACAATATACATATCTGGGTTTGCCTCATCAACGACGTCAGTCAGATTCTCGGGGTCCTATTTTACTGTATATATCAGAAATAAAAGAATCGAATTAAGATACTATCAAATCCATCACTATGTCATCGACCCTAACACGTTGCAGCACCTGATCGTGATCGGGCGGCTATGGCCAAAGGCCAACTAGGACAGTAGTCTAGAGTTTTGATCTGGAGCTGCCGGTACTCACATCAATAGGCATGGGCGGGCCCCACTTTTAGCATGATTGATTGATGATGGATTGTGCGATGGTGAAAGATTAGACGAATAGAATTCAAGATTGAAGAAAGATTCCGCGCACAATCTCCCAAACCTTGGGCCGTGGTCAAATACCGGGGGCGTCACAGTTTCTATCTATATATATAGAACAGATTCCTACGATGCTTATCCACTCCACTGATGCATACATCAGTACACACGTCATCCTCTTCTGTCTTTGGATTCTTATTTCCACTCACCTTCCTGGTCCCTCCACTAGTAGTTTTGCTGGATACCATACTCTTCTACATCAGTATACGCACCCATTTTGCCACGTCATTCTTCCATGTGGCAAAATGGGTCCATATTATTGCCCACACTTGTACAAGTAGTTGTCTGTATCAATGATGGGGTTACATATGGGACAGTTGATCCCCGATCCTAATCGCGGTCATGATGGACGTTGGGGACTGGGGAGTCGATCGGGGTGGGGCTTAGGGGTATAAGCGATTTATGATTTAGTCAATCCGATTTGCCGAATACTTGCAAATTATTTGAGTGGCTCGTGGGCTTAATTAAGTATTTATTGATGTATTATTTTTTAGGGAGAATGACTAATTAGTTCAGATCAAAATTTTATAGCCCCAAAGTACAGGGAGAATGCATCTTAATCGTGAATTAATATTAAATTTACCGGCAAGATGTGATTTATAGGGAAAAAACAGGCTAGTAATAGGGGGGTTGGAATTCAAAATTCTGCATCGGATATTTCCGTATTTCTCTGTATTTTTTAATATAATTTTAGCACGAGAAGGAGCTCCACTTAGTAAAAACAAATAAAATTATTTGTTAATGTTTGGTATAAATAATTGTTAAGGTATTAACTAATAAGTATGTAACGTACCGGGGGTAAGGCACCATGTTCCCCTCCGACACGAATACCCGATATTTTAATTTGTAGTTCGTCTCTCCAGGCATATTAGTACTGTAGACTGTAGTAGGTTCAGGTTACCACGTACCGTCAGAAAGATTACACGCAAAACTTGGTTCCACCCACAGTTTTGCAATTTTGTAAGACTACCCACTTGGACCCCGTCTGTAATTTCTTCTTTGTTGCTATAATATATATAAAATAATATAATATAGCTGCTTTTGGACTTTTGTGCATCTCTATTGTACTACAGCAAAATGGAGCGCAAATGCGCAGGTTAGGGAGGAAAAATATTATATTGTACTTTGTACGCGCATGCATGGACGTGAGGAAGTTCAGACCCAATATTGTCTCAACAAGCCATTATAGTTGAACATCTGTTCACAGGCCGGGTTTGGGCCGGCCCGGGCTTTACCTCTTTATAAATAAGAAATGATTAGATCTGAGCCTAATCTTGACCTATATAAAGCTTGAAGCCCAATTTGGATAGATATTTCGTAATATATTATTTATATATTATTATTATATTAAATATTATATAATACATTTTTGCTATTAATATTATTATTACGTAATATTATATTTTTTATTATGTATATATTATAATGTCGACTTGAACTCAAGCCAAACTTATTTGGAAAAGTTTAAGCCCGACCTGATAAATAATTGGGCTCAATTTTAGAGCCTGAACTCTAGCCAAGGGTTTAAAATTTGTTTAAGCTTGACATAAAACGGATCGGTCAGGGCCAGCCCATCGGGTTATCCGACCCATAACCAAGCCACTTAACAGAGATGTTTCAAATGTGCGACCGAGCGAATTGTTGGGAGCGTGCTGTTGGTAGCAGATGCATATCTGGATGCAAGGTGAAGTGATCAGACAATCAGACCTAGCTCCATAATAGTTGGTCCCACTGCTCCTAGCAGATCGGGTAGATCCGCGTTGCACCCACTACCTGATTTTATGTTTTTTTGGAATTTAAGTGGATCCTTTGGGTGGCGGAGAGACCCCCTAGGTGAGTGACTGCTTGAACATTCGATTCGTTTGGGACTTCCAGCACTGCCACGTGGAACATCTTAGCCGCTGGCATGTGGGTCCAGGCCAATAATATACTAAACATTTTTCCACGTGTAGGAATCTGAGCACACCCTATTTCAACGGGTCCCACACCTCTCCAATCAGATGGAATGACTATAAAATTCTATGATGGTTCGGATGTGATAGAATGGGCATTTACCCTATTTAATAAAGCGGCACACTCCTAATACTATAGGTCAGAAATGATTGTTTTAAAAGACGAAAATACCCCCATATAATAATAAGTAACAACCCATGGGAGTTGCAACTTACAACAACCGACAAAGCTGGACCCTTGATCTCATGGACTGGATAAGATCACCGTCCAACTCCTGAATCCTTTCGTATTCCAATCTGACGGTTCCTTATTGGCTTATCTCCATATCCCATGGCCGTCCCGTCAGGTCGTTTTGGTCAAAAAGATCGGGTTGACTCTTGAGACCATGTGCTCCAGATTCCAGATGCCTCGCTAATAATCATTGTCTGCCCAAATCCTCGTGTGTAGCACGCGTGTGCCACTCAGCACCATTTCATCAAAGTTGACTTGTAGACAACTCACTTTGATGCAACTTGACGTTGAATCTAACGGAGGTGGCTTTCGTGTCACCCTTCATTGATGATGGACTATGTTCATCTTTCCTGTTTGCGATCCACGGTAGGATTCCTAAATATCTGTGTAAAAAATTCTCTCTGTCTTTCTTTTTCGGTAATACAAGAAAGAGGTATAAAGAATTTAAAAAAAAATCCCTAAAAATATAGAGGCTACAGCTTGACACACAAGGCCGGAGGCCCCGGTAGCTCCGTAGGTCGAGCGGATGTGGGGCCACCCCTGTCCTTTTCGTTTTACACTCAAGAATCATCTCCTGTGTGGACCGCACTCCACATGCCCTCGTCCTTTGTCGGTGCAAATGGACATTAATACCCTCGTGACGTTGCTATAAATGGAAGCGCCTCTTTTCTTAGCCAATCTCATTCCCGTGTTTCAGCTCTTTGCATTTCTAGAGAGAGAGAGAGAGAGAGAGAGAGAGTTGAGAGGAGGAAAAAATCATGTTGGGTGTGTTCAGCAGCGCTATCGTGACGCCACCTGAAGAGCTGGTGGCTGCCGGATGCCGGACGCCATCGCCGAAGATATCCTCGACGGCGTTAGTGAATCGGTTCCTCGAGAGTAACACCTCCGCCGTGTCGCTACAGATCGGGGACCATGTTCATTTGGCGTACACACACCAAAACGAGTCGGCGTTACAGCCCAGGTAAAAATCCAGAGACTAACGCCTCTCGAAACGGCCGTTCCACATCGTCGGACCTCAAATTCCGGCGGGCGGCGGCACTTGCCAGCGCCTGTCACTAAGAATCTGGTGAAATTTTAATTTGTTTTTTAACCCAGATGATCAGTAGTCAGTACGCCAAAAATCAGCACGATTGAATGATTTCAACGTCTGATCAATTTCAGGAAAGTTGGTCGAAGAACGTACAGTGATCAGATGCTCTGGATCAGTCGATCGTGTTGATGCGTAGGACAGTAGGATATCGGTGTTTTTTAACCCCGATATGCCGATCAGTTAATCATAACCGCTTAAAACCTTCCAAGTCTTTTGGAAAGTAGGAAACAATCTAGGTGGTAATGATCTTACAAACAATATTCCGTTTTGACGCTAGAGATGTCCTAGTTTCAGGGACGTGCAGCATCTGAGCCAAAACGAGAGTGAGAGGATCGGCGATCACACTCGCGCGAGTCGTACAGGCCTTCATCCATCCATGTGTGTTATCTATAATTGACGGCTAGATGCCTAGTAGAATATGGGACCCACTTTACATCATTGGCATATGGCTGGCCCCACTTGATGAGTGCCAGCCGGCAACCGACAACCCTGACAGAACAATCTCCTCTTGTTTTGTAAGGCCACATTTTGTCATTTTGTCTAGTCTAGTGAACTACTTGTTGAATTATATGGCTTCAATTCGGTCCTGATTCGTGTCCAAGTAGATCCGGCCCAGATCCGACCACAAATGGGCAGTGGATCCGACTCTTGTTCCGGATCAGGTAGGCACACTAATGCCCTGTTTGTTTTCACTTAACTGGTTAAGTGGGTTTATCCAAACAACGGGACAAGTATTATGGGCAGAAATTATGTAAATAGCTTCGATGCTGGTATGCGTGTGCATTTTCACTTATCTGCTTAAAGAGAGAGAGGCAAGAGGGGATTAGTGTTTTGAATAAGTGATACTCTTTAAAAAATTTGTTTATTAAACTTAATACAGCCGCATAAAAATGCAAGAATGATTAATTATCTGATTAACTAATTTATCATACTAATAAATAAACAAAACTTAAATATTAGAAATTTTTTTTTGAGATATGTCCCTTAAAAATATCCCATCTTCCATTGCTAAAAGATTAAGGCTTCTGACACGTCTTTTTGTGTGGTTTTTTGGTTGTTTATAAGATGGGTAAATTATGTCACAGTGTTTTTCTGTTTGGTTCATAATAGATCTAATTGTTAAAAGGCAATATCTTGAAAAGACTTAAGAAACCCATTTTGGGTTAATTTTGAGAAACTCTAAATGGAGTTTTTTGCATTTTTCTCGCTTTATTCTCGTATAGAAAGATTTAAAAGGACATGCGATAATCAAACTTACTTCGAATTATTCACATTTTCATACAAAAACTAAATGCATCTTTTAACTATTAGAACTATTAGAAGATCTTTCTAAAAAAATTTACCAAACGACCCAAAAATGTAACTTTTTGATACAGTTGCAAAAATATTTATTGAGTAAACCTCTATATGGTCTTCACGGGTCTCAAGCCAACCCGATTATGACTATCTGACTGAACCGGATAACATTTTATTTATTTTTTCTCTTTTTGATGAATGAGTGCAGATCATTTGCTGTAAAGGATGAGATATTTTGCATGTTTGAGGGAGTGCTGAATAATTTGGGGAGCCTGAGGCAACAGTATGGGCTTGCAAAGTCTGCAAATGAGGTAGTACTAGTGATCGAGGCCTACAAGGCCCTTCGAGACCGGGCCCCATATCCACCAAGTCATGTGGTGGGCCATCTCATCGGAAACTTTGCATTCGTCCTGTTTGACAAGTCGACATCCACATTATTTGTTGCTTCGGTAAGTAGTAATCATCATCATCATTACCATCTCTACGAACAATTTGGCTAAACACAATGATATAATGTAACAGGATCAATTTGGGAAGGTGCCTCTATATTGGGGAATCACTGCAGATGGGTACGTTGCCTTTGCAGATGACGCCAATTTACTGAAAGGTGCATGTGGCAAGTCTCTTGCATCATTCCCTCAGGGTAATCATCTTCATCCCTACTCTTTAATCTTTATGTTACATTGGCCTATTTGGAAAGAGTTCGGATCTACTAACTACAATACATTGCTGGTTATATTCATCCATCCGCACATTTGGAACATCTCTTCTATTTTATATAACGGGTATTGAATAATTTGCAGGCATGAGCATCCAATCACACATTGAGAACATCTTCTCATGAATTTAAAATACATGTACAGGAGATATTCTCGATGTGCAATTAGATTCCGTGCTTGCAGAGTTTTTGCTTTCAAAAACATGTCATGGGCACCAGTGCTTCATCTAGAGGAATCTACTATCGGAGCCTTGCTTTTTCTTTTATTTTTTTGATTGGATTTCTTGTTTCTCTAATTCTGATTGTTTTTGCCATGAACGAATTACAGGATGCTTCTACTCTACCGCACTGGGAGAGATCAGAAGCTTTGAGAACCCGAAGAACAAGATCACTGCCATCCCAGCTGCGGAGGAAGAGATTTGGGGTGCCAAATTCATGGTGAGAAATATAAAAAACAAAACGCGATCTTTTAGGCTTTGTTTGGCTTGAAGGAAAAAGTAGAAAAAGGAAAGCGAATGTAGGAAAACCTTAAAAAATCTTGTATAGGTTTTCATATCTTTCCCTTCTTTTCCCTACTTTTTCCTTTAAATCAAACATAACCTTAGTTAATTTTACCAGATTAATGAATATTAGATACAATGCACCAAAATTGTGCCCATTTTCTTCTACTAATGTCAAGAATCCTTTGGGTAATGTTGCAGGTGGAAGGTTCAACAGTTCTTGCAGCAATGAAGTAGACAATTGTCATTTTTCAACCAATGCACAGGGCTTTTTATTTTATTTTTTTCAATCCATTCGGAGGTAGATGAAGGGGGAGGGGTTGTTTGCATAAGCTTGTTAATACAAGCGTGTAGTGGTTTTAATGTAAATACCCAAGTGAGAGTTGGTGAGGAAGTTGGTAGAGTAGCTGAGGAAAAGTCATGAATGCAACAAGTGACAACCACATTAATTTGTAAGCATGGATGGATGTATGTACGAGTGTTGTTATCTCAGAGCTAATCCTTGACTTATCTTTCCTAGTTACTTTAATCAATGTACAGTTGTTATGCTCTCTCTACTCATAATAAACTCTTTAATTAGTAACTGGTAATCCTAATTAGTCTTACTGTTTAGCTTTGTTCTTATTACTGATGTTTCTGGGTTTAAGAACACACTAGAAATGCTCCACCCAGGGATGGACTTTTTGGACCTCTAGGGAGGTGTTCTGTACTGTGGAATATTCTGTGGATTGCTTGGTTCTGAAACAATGCGTACCCCTTTTAGAAGGTGTTGGACAATATGGCTAACTAGTTCGGGTTTTAATCACAACACATTGATGGCCACGTTCACCCATTTGCACATCTGGAGCATCAGTTGTATCTTATATCGCCAATATTTTCAACATGCAACTGGATGAGTGTGGCCAACAATGCATTGTGGTCAGCAGATCCAGACTCATGGCTAATGGCCACATCAATAAAATTGTATTGTATTTGCTAATGTGATTATTTTTGTTTTTAAAAACAAAACCAGCCATATTAATCAACACTCCACCATCTCTGAATGGTTTTTGATAGAGGACAGTTTGGCCCAACCCCATGGGCCTAAGAACACGTGTGCATGACCTGGCTTGGTGAACAGTTTAGTCAGACAGTGTGATCTTGACTCAACGGGAAGGAAACGCCAGGTCGAAGACTGACAACTCACCGAGGATTAACATCTCGGTAAGTCAGTCTCTCGCCTAGCTCGGAGAGCCCGGGTTCCCCCCTAAGGAACCCCAAGCTCCCCCCCGGGAGGGAGCATCTCGGTGCTTCGAGGCAAGGACCGATCTGCCTCGATGCAGCCCGGTATGTGGCAGCTCGGCAAGCTGCGTGAAGGAGGGCAAGAGGATCTCTTGCCCGACCGCCGTACCCGACAAGTCTGGGGACAGCCATGTCCCTCGTCAAGCAGCATCGTGCCTGTCACATTTAGAAGGTGTCTTACACCTGACAAGCACGTACCCAGCGGTGACGGCCCCGCGCGTGCCACTTCAGCCCTGCCAATAACGGCTGTGGCAGGTTGGCAGTGGTGGTTATACCTGCCCTGTCAGAGGCCAATGGGCCAGAGGTAACAGATTTCTGCTATAAGGAGCATAGTATCAGGGAGGAGATGTATCTTCATCTTCTACACTCACGCTATCTTCACTCTTAGCCTTCATCTTCTCCTTGCTTCTCCTATCGAGTACTAACTTAATCATCGGAGTTTTCCCGCCGAGTAACTCCCCCCGGGATTCTTCTTCTTCTCAGGTATCTTCCAAGAGCCATCCGAGTGCCAGCTAGGAGTGACCAGATCGCGCTACATCATTTGGCGCCGTCTGTGGGAAAACGCTTCTAAAAGCCTTCCTCTAAACCTTCTCTGAAAACTCGGCGCTCATGGCTTCCTAGAGCGACGTTGGACGAAGCATGGAGATGGGTAACTCCAGGGAACAACCCCAGGACCCCTCGGTCTGTATTGGGTAGTTTACCGTTCCCCTCTCAGTGGACGGAGTCCCCAGCCTGAACACGCCGCCAGCAACGGCGCCTATGGGTGTTCCCCTGCCTTCCTTGGTCGAAACGACCTTTGCTGAACCGACTGTCATCCCTCTGGCGACTAGCCAAAGCCAGCTCGACGATCTGATGCAGTGCATGCGGGCCATGCAAGCCCAAGTGCAGCAGCTCCAGCAACACCAACTTTATCAGCAGCAAGTGCTGCACCACGTCTCCCAGTACCAGTATCAGCAACAATTCCCTCAGTTGCCTCAACCCCAGCTTTAGCAGCTGCAACTCCCTCCTTGGCACCCAGTCTCACCGCGGACTAGGTCTCGCCGCCAAGAGGAGCACCTTTCTCACCGAGAGGAGGCCCCCTAGAACCCTCCTAAGAGTCAGGCCTCCTCCCGTGGCAGACAAGAAAGACCGGCCACTCCGGTCTCACCGCGGGCAGTCAGGCCGGGAGGACCTCAGCTCACCAGGTCCGCGTCGCCTCAACCCTCAAAGCCTGATACCTCGTTCCTAGGGAACCGGTTCGAGATCCTGGCCGCATGCTCCAAGCAGGATCCTTCTGTCCGCAGCCATCACCAGCGGCCTGAGCTACTTCCTGCACACACCATTCCTGATAGCACCGAGGTGAGCAACACGAACGACGAGCCCACCAAGAAGCAGAGACGCCGCCATCGAGCTCGCCGATCTGCCACCCACAACCTGCCCGAGCTCAGAAGTAGGGAAGAGGTAAGCTCAGGCGAAGCCAAGGCTCCCCTCCTTTCAGTTCTGTCCCCCCTGTCTTCCGAACTCCTGGCATTCCCAATGCCTAAAGACTTCAAGCTCCCCCCTCTTGACAAGTATGACGGGTCGTTTGACCCAAATGACCATGTAGATGCCTTCCAGTCGTAGATGCACTTGGCGAGAGCCAATGAGTCGTGTATGTGTGTCCCGCCTACCTCGGAGAGCCCGGGTTCCCCACTAAGGAACCCCAAGCTCCCACACCCCTGGGAGGGAGCACCTCGATGCTTTGAGGCAGGGACTGATCTGCCTCGATGCAACCCGGTATGTGGCAACTTGGCAAGATGCGTGAAGGAGGGAAGGAGGATCTCCTGCCCGATCGCCATACCCGACAAGTCTAGGGACAACAGCCATGTCCCTCGTCAGGGCAGCATCGTGCCTGTCACATTTAGAAGGTGTCTTACACCTGACAAGCACATACCTAGCGGTGACGGCCCCGCGCGTGCCACCTCAGCCCTGCCAATAACGGTTGTGGCAGGTTGGCAGTGGCGGTTATACCCACCCTGTCAGAGGCCAATGGGCCAAAGGTAACAGATTTCTGCTATAAGGAGCTTAGTATCATGGAGGAGAGGTATCTTCATCTTCTACACTCGCGCTATCTTCACTCTTAGCCTTCATCTTCTCCTTGCTTCTCCTATCGAGTACTAACTTAATCATCGGAGTGTTCCCGCCGGGTAACTCCCCCCGGGATTCTTCTTATTCTTAGGTATCTTCCAGGAGCCATCCGAGTGCTAGCTAGGAGTGACCAGATCGCTCTACATCAGTTTTGAAACACAACATATCGTAATTTCTCTCCTATACCAAAATATTGAGGATCAATTCAATCCACAACAAAGGTAAATTTGATGATCCTCACCATATATAATGTAATGCCAGAAATGTTTTGCTTAAAATATTGCTGACATTGCATCCACACCACAGTGCAGAGAACCTTATGGAGTGTGGTGTGGTTCAAACTATGTGATTTTAACCACAGAAAGTATGTCCACTAGATTCAAATACASACACAGCATTTTATAGAGACCCCACTACCAAACACTCCCTAAATTGATTAGGGTGGCCAACAAGAGAGATACAGTGATAGGGACTAGTAACACTTCAATATGAAAGGAGGGATGATGCATTAATTGGTGCTGCTTTTTAACTTGTAGAGTTTCTTAAAGGCTCAATAATTTGAAGGATTTGGTGAATGAACTAATAATTCAATGCATCCGGATGAGAAGAGGGCCTAAGCCCAACTCACCTTTTGTTTATTTTTCTTCAAATTTCAACATCCAAATCCTTAGTTCATAGGATGTGGACATGATTGGAGCCTTTTGGAATGTGAAAGTATGAAACAAAGCTTATGTACTCCAATGGGAATGGTTAGTAGACATCTTTTTCTTGGTTGGAGGAAGAGGTGGTCCATCACCAAACAAGAAAGGAAAAAGTTAGTGGAGTGTTGGACACATCATGACAGAATTCATTTACCACCATAAAATGATAGAATTATTGTGGAAAAGACAAAAATCTTCCACAAAAATGAATAGACTTGTTTGGATTCTTTTGGAAAAAAAAAACAATAATTAGGTCCAAAAAATGAATTGTATAACTTGCAATAATTGATCAACTCACAAATTCTCCCTGGATCAACTAGTAACATGGATGGTAATAACTTCAGCCTGTTATACATAAAAACCTTGTTAAGGTGTGGCTTATTTACCTATTACAAGTTGAAGGGTTCAAAAAGTTGCGAAACAAAAAAGGAATTGACTGAAAGTAATAATCAAGGTTTTAAAAACCGACTCAGAATTGAAATGATTTTTGGCACTGGTTTTCAGATCGACAATTTGATCATCTGATTTGAATGAACAGCCCGCTTTAACAAAAAATAAAGTAATTAAAATAAAAAAAAAAGATCAAAAACCATTGAATAGATTGATGATGGTTCAACTGCCTGGGTCAATGGGCCATTGACCAATTCAATAATTTTTAGCCAAAGACCAGTTTTAGAGTAAAATGGGATCAGTTTCTTGAACGGTTCCCAAATCAAACGGTCCAACCGTCTGAATCAAGGAAGTTTGAAAACATTGATAATAATAAATGAATTAGACATTCGTAATTTGAGGATGGATATGGCACCGAAGGGGTTGATATAGCCGATCCCATATAGTTGGGATAAGGCTTAGATGATGATGCTACTGATGAATCAAGCTTCCAGGGTTTTCATTGAGGAAATAAAATACTTGAGAAAAAGGAAGGAAATGAACACTTTCCAGGGGATCTGACCTCCTGTTTGGTTGATTGTCCAGGCAGTCTGGAAAAGAAAACCTAAATAGTAGGAAAGCTATTGCATTTACAGAATGACTTTAGATATGAAGACTGCTCTGTTATCATTTAGGTGCTAGCGGAAACCCTTTTCAGCACCTTGGGTTATAAAAAGTCAGTTTAAATAGAAAGAATGGAAAAGGATAAAACATGTTTAGTTTTTCCTGTGACTTGTGACCTGTATTATTACATTAATAATTTATGGTGAGCAGCTACAATGATAAGACATCAAACTGATGGAGATTGGAGACTGAGAAAAAATTATGCAGGCTTAGAAAAATGGAGAATCCCTATCTTCTATGGACTGGTACAGCAAAGTCTTGGCCTAAACCCAACTAAGAGCAGAGAATTCTTTCAATTCTTGGTATTGGTAGCATCAATTGCAACTTTTCTTGGTTTAGGTTTAAGAAACTCCATTGATGGGCATTATTACATGTTTGGCTCTTGATGTTACAATTTACCCTAACAGATGAGTATGGATGCATCTTGAGAAGTCATGGTGTTAGTCATA